GAATATGAAAAGTCGTCATCATAACAAAGCTGTGATCTGGAAGAAAAATCAACAGACGAGACCAGTTACGAACGACAACTTCCAAACATGGCGCCCTGTCCTGTTTTGCATTCGTTTTCACAACGGCCTTTAGAGGGCGCTTCTAAGTTTAGGCTACTACATGTACCAGTAGTATTGAATTTGTTAGCAGCGAAATGCTAAGTGACCTCCTTATATGTACAACTCACTATGACTACTACTACAACAACAACAACAATAACAATAATAATAACATATGCATTAATATCGACCATAAGTGGACGGTTTGTAATTTGTTGACGCGGATACCGAATAATTTAATATCTGTCGCCGTCGCCGTCCACCACATCACGTATTATCCGACAAATCGCCTGGTTTGGATGAATTTCTCGCGTCGCAGAGCTGGGTAAGCTGACATATCGCATCTCACCAGTTCACATCACCTCGTGGCAAACATTTTCGTACTTTTTCACGTAATCGTCCTGCTTTTTAATAATAAATTAACAAATAATGAGATCCAGCTACGTATAGCTTTTCAATGTTTTGTATTGTTCATTTTAGTGCTTGTGGAATTTACAATGCCACTTCGGTAGGACAACTTGATTATATGCCTGGTTTATGACACGGACATTCTCGTGTAGTAAACACGTACACATGTTATCCGTTATAATGGCATATGGCACAATTGGTTGCTTAAATATACAAATATATAGTTTATATTTTCAAGTTCGTCTATGTTTACAAAATCAAATATGGTTTGAAGTATCTAAACATGTAACTATTATTATTTAGAACAAATATATAAATATATAGATAACATTCAATGAACACATTCTACTACGTTGTTAAAACTAATTAACAAATTTAACATTCTTGACAAGAATTACAACCAATGACAATTTAGTACACATACAAAAAAGCAAACACATTACGAAAATATTGCTAAATGTCTGTACTTCATTTGAATTTAATTTTTCATAGTTAAAAAAAGTTACTTCCTTCCCTTTTCACATAGAAATGAAAAATCGTCAACTGGATGTGATACTTACTCACATAAATTAGGATGTTTCCGCAAATGACACTAACAGGTGTGGAGGCTAAATTAAAAATAAGCCAAAAAAGAGGGAATGCTGAGAGGGGGTAAACGATCAAGATCGGACAGGAGAGACTGTTAGTTAGGTGCAGAGGATGGAAGGGGGATTGCAAACAATAAGAGAATGTCGTAAAATAACTAAGCATGAGGGGAGGCCAGAATGGGCAAAGCACAGGGGAAACACAAAAGCTGGGGTTGAGTGAATGAGGGAGGCTAGAAAAGGCTTTAAATGAGAGGGAAAGACTGGACGAGCTCACAATTGGTAGAAGATGAGAAAACTCATTTAAGGGTTCTCGGAGGGGTGGTAAGTGAGTAAGAGAGATGTGGTGGCTGGTAAGAGTCATAAACAATAAGGAGAGGTCAATGTTGCTGTCGGTTGGGGCTTCAGAGACTGATCTGAAGGGACCGGGAAGAATGATAAAAATGAGAGGGAAAGGTTGGGAGGTGCCATAATCGAGAGGGAATGGCGGAAAAGTGCCAAAAGGAACAGGAAAGGGTGGAAGGAGCGTAGGCAAGAGGGAGAGGTCAGGACCACGAGCAAGAGGATTGGGCCAGGAGAAGAAATAGGTGAGAGGGGTGCGTTGGAAATTGTCAAGATGGGGAGGGAAAAGAGGGTAAAGATACTTTGCCTTCTAGCCTCCTATTTTAATCAATGGCTCATTTTGACTATTCACTCATTCTTATGATAACTCCGACCATCTCCCAATTACTTACCATCAAGCCCAGAAAAGATGAGAATATTGCTCACGAACTTTCACCTGAAACAGATTCTTCTAATCTCTCCCACTTACTTATAGCCTCTCCTGACCTCCCACCTACTGCTACACACCCTCACTCAAACCTACATGAACCCCCGCAGCCTCCCCTCTCATTTGCATTCCTTTCCAGCTACTCATTTGTGACTCATGCATAACTCAGCCCAGTTTTAAGCCACTCCTTCTCATCTCACAAATCTCTTCTGATAGTTTACCACCAACTATTTGTCATAAGCCTCTCCAGCCTTCATTTATCACTGATGACCTTTCTCAACCACGCTCACTTGTGTACTAACCCTTCCAGACTATTTCTTATGATCTCCTGCTAGCATGTCATTTACCAACCTACCTTCCTACCCATGGTTTCTCCAACGCTCACTCTCTTGTTTATGTTCCCTACTGGCCACTCCATCTTGCATGCAAGCTCCCAGTCATCCTTCTTTTTTATGGCCTTTCCGAATGTGTAATGATCTCCCCTTCCAGCTAAAACCCCCACAGTGCTCCCTCATGGCCTGGCTTGCCATCTCTCCCACAAACCCTCTCTGATTCCTCTTCTCTCCTATTGCCCCTCCTACTACCCTCTCCTGGTCCATTCCTACTGCTTACGACTGTTTTGAGCATTTCCATCTCATATGTGCGTGCCCAAGAACCCCTCTCTTCTTCGGCCGTTGCTGGTCTTCCTTACCATTCCATCTTGCCTGCATTTCTACATTACGATTTTCTGCTACCTAGAGCCCCCAGCCCCCTATCTTTTCCTGGAATCTGTAAACCAACCAAATTTCTGGTCAATTTATGTATTTTAACTGTGACATTCCCACATAATTGCGATAACAGTAAAAAGAAATCTTTCTTGTGTTTTGTAGAGTCCCTATGTGTATTGAACAATAATTACCTTTATTGCGTTTGTATCCCGATTAGGATTTTGAATAAAATGACACAGATGTGAATAAAGACAAAATCTGTTTACAATTGTTTTCAAATTTCGTTTTTCTGATATTATTTTATCTATAATTACATTGTTCGCGTTTTGCACAAATGGTCTATATTGAATATCAAACTATGTATTGTCAAATTGAGTAACAGTGAAATAATGTACCCATGGGACATAACCGTCAGACTTAATGATTTATTTTATGGAGATGCACGATCACAAAAAATGCCAATAGCTTACATAATGATTAATATTACATTCACATAAAACTGTTCAAGCATAATCACTATAGTAACTTATATAAAATGCGATGTTTCGTAAATTAAACAGAAATAATGTAAAAATGAAATGAATTACCTTATCAGGGCCATACTCGAAATATTATTATATGAGATGTGCGTGTGACTGTTTGGTTTGATGTTACCACGACAGAAAAATACTCAAACAAGTTCATGGCTTCCGGGCTTCACTCTTTCTTATGGCCCCTCTATTGGGCTCTCACGAAATAACAGTAAGAAGATAACGTTCTATAGGAAAGATATAATAATGCTTCAATCAGTCTTGTGTTAAATATTAAACGATGTATTTTAAAATAGAGCAACGGTGAAATTATGTATTCATGAAAAATATCAGGTAGACTTAATGACTTATTTTATGGATGAACACGATCACAACAATCGCCAATTAATTATATAATGATTAATATTACATTCATTTAAACCTGTTTGAGCATTGTCACTATAGTAACTTATATAACAAATGCGATGTTGCGTAAAATTAACAGAAATAAAATGAAACTGAAATAACCTTAACTCAAAACGACTATTAT